GCTCAGGCTGGCCTTTAACTTAATATATAGCTCAGACTGGTCTCAGACTCATGGCGATCCTCCTGCCTCAGCCTCAGAAGTGCTGGGATCACCAGCATGTGCCACCACATCTGGCAATATGTGAATTTGTAGGGTGGCAGGAAATCTGACTCTGTCCTGATCACCCTGGCATCCTACAGTGGGTAGGACAGCAGAGTGCTCCCTGCAGAGGCCCAGACTGAATCATCTGCCTCCTCATCCTAGAAAATCTGGCTCCAGGCTGTGCTGCTACTGCTCGTCAGGGCCTTGGTGAAGATGCTTAAAGGAGTCTGAAGGGAGGCACCAGAGGCTCTGCAGGAACAGCTGCACAGATGGCTCACCTGCTAGCAGCTTTGTGGAACGTGACATGTAGGGTCTCACATTGAGCAGACCAAGGTCTGTGTCCAGACAGCAAATGCAAATCTTTCCTCCTCATTAAAAGTATGATGTGACAGTATGTTTGTTGTTTTGTTTTTTGAGACAGGGTTTCACTTTGTACTTGAGATTGACCTGGAACTCACTATGTGGCCCAGGCTGGTCTCGAACTCACAGCGATCCTCCTGCCTCAGCCTCCCGAGTGCTGGGATTACAGGCTTGCGCCACCACCCCCAGCTTAATTTTAAAAAGGAAGTCTCAAGAATCGTGAGGGTGGTATTTGATGTGACAGTATGAAATAAAACATTGATAACATGACCATTTCCACTTCTATAACCCCTCTAGTCTTTGCCCAAATTCATGCATTTAAAAAAAATGCAGTATTTACAGTTAGAGTGAACATACCATTTTGCAGATAAGTTGAATTCTTGCTGCGGAACCCAATGAATATAGAAGGGATTTTTCTCACCCAGACCTGTGGCCCTGTCATCTTTATTTTTCTCTCCATTAAATTTGGTGTGGCCTGACTTAGGTTGAACTTTTCCCCTTCTTTTTCTGTTCCCAGAGTATCTCAAAGAGATAAATATGAATCTCCACCCACTTTATCTTTTGTAGCTGGAATTTGACTGGAATTTGAGAGCAGGAAAAAGGCAGATGGAACATGGAAAAGCGTATTTACTGTCTACACTCAGCTCTGTCCCAGGCTTTACACAGACTTTTAAATTGAGGACCTCGGTGCCACATTTCACGTATCCTTTCAACTTTACTATTGCTCGTTTATTGAACACCTCCTGCCTTTCCTATCCCGCGTACATGCCCTTTTGCTGTGCCCCTGATGCCTGACTGACGTGGTCTCCTGAGTGCTGTGTGCCCAGGGATTGCGCTGCTGCACCATGATAGACAGCATGCAGCAGAGTAGCACAAGCCTCAGTCTAGATCCAAATCCTGCCTCTCCCACTTATTAGCTCTGCACTTTGGTCAAATCACTTGTAAAGTGGAGACAGTAGTAGTAGCTGCTTCATCGTTGCGAGAAGGAGCAAGTGAATTAGTACTTGCTAAGTAGTAGAACAGAGCCTGGGACGCATTAAGAACTCAGGAAACATTAGGTGTTGTCCAAATGTCTTCTAATCTTCAAAGACCAGACAACATCCTATTTTGATTAATGTTACACAACCCATAATGATCATTTACTCGTTTGAATGTGCAACATAATGAATACTTAATTGACATAGCGCCTTGACACAGGTGCAGACTAGATAGGAAGAAACAATATCTAAGTTCAAATCTCGGCACAGCCTTGAGTGAGCCGCTTAAGTCTTAGCTTTGACATCTGTGGAATGGATATTTTGATTCCCTTGAAGGGTGATTGTGAGGACTAAAGAGGAAGAACAGAGATATAAGAAGCATCTCATACAGGTCCTGAGTCATGGTAGACCCCCTCTAAATATACAGGCTCTCTCAAAATATCTTAGAGTTTTTGTTTTTTTGATTGTAAAAACAAAATCATTGTAGAATCTTAGATAGTTATAGCAGTGTAGATAAAAAAAATTAAAATAATGATAAACATCTTTCTAGAGACAATTGTCCCAGGTGGTAGCTCCTACCCTGGAAACTAAGAGCTGGGTATATTTATTTTAGTCACTCTCCCTCTTTCCCATGAACTGCCCAAGAATGCACATGTATTTTTTAAAGAGCTGGGTGTGGTAGCGCAGGCCTGTAATCCAAGCACTTGGGAGGTTGAGGCAGGAGGATCGCAGCAAGTCTGAGCCCAGCCTGAGTTATATAGTGAGACCCTGCCAAAAGAAAGAGAGAAATCAATCAACCAATCAATCACAGTGTATACTAACTTTGCAGCTTACTTTAAGCATTTCTCCATCTCACTAGCTTTTTCAATGCCATGGTTTTCATGAGCTGTATTCTATACACATCCATACTCAACTATTTAACCATAACTTTATTATTGAGGTCTGAGATTTTATTTAGGTTGTAGCTATTCTGAAATCATGCTGCATTAAATATCTTTATATATGACCTTTGTAAGTATCCTTGATTACTTTGTTAAGATAAGTTCCTAGGAATAAAAGTACCCGTCCCAAGAAAGCACACTGAAGGGTTCTGGTACATCTGGCCAGGTTTCGCCCTCCCAAAAGGTTGTATAAATCATATTCCTATCAACAGTGACTGACATGGAATGTGCCCTTCACATGTCACCTTTGCTAACTCTGTTGTTGTTTAACCTTTCATCTGCTTTATCTAGTACCTTTCAGCCCAGATGGCACATAATCCTGAGCGGGCACGGTGGCCATCTGCTGCTCTATAATACCAGAACGTCGCCTGGTTTCATTCAGATAGCATCACTTAATATTTGTCCAAGGAAGGAATAAATATTCACAAATCTCTGTGAGGTTAAGAGCTACAGAAGGCATTCAGACAACCACTTTCAAATTGGTCCAATCGAGAGAGAAGTTTATAGAGCTGTCCTCAGTCTCACAGAGGAATGGGCTGGGGGAGGACAGTACGAACTCACCCACCGATAGCTGGGAATGGGTCCAGGGGAGAATGAGCTGTTTTTCAGCGTCAGCTCTGCAGCTGTTTGAAATGGACTCTCTGCACTGCTCTCTGTTTCCTCTTCATTACTGGGTGTGGAGAGGGGCGGGCCCTGCTTTTACAGCTCAGCCTTGTAGTGGGATGAGTGGAATTTTCCGGATGGCTCCTCTTGTTGGCTGTTGCCTGATTGCAGCTGTGCCGGCTGGGAACCCTTAGACCGCAGCCCCAAAGCCTACAGGGCTGTTTCAGAGGTCAGACTGTGGGAGCCTTGCACTTTCGTTGACACCCAGCCACGCAGGATTCCACGACATACAGACCCCTCTGATTTTGACTCGTGCCCCTCCTCCAACACACACACCCATCCCTGGGACAGTGACTCAGATGGATTCCCTGGCCAGGCGCCTCTCTGGGACCAGAATCTGGAGTAATCCCCTGGGAGTGACACATTGTTTCAGAATTTCCCTCAGAGTACACCCCAAGTGTAACATGAGTGGATGCCTCCCTTTCCCTACCTCCTAGAACCTCCTCCCCTGCATTGTCCTTTTTGTTTTCAGGTAAGGAGGCTTTGAGTGTGAAAGTCTGCATGGGTTGGGGGGCATCTGAGCTCATAATTGTACCTCCCTGTGTTATGGCTGTACCTGCTCATTTGTGAGTTGACCACTAATCCTCACCACTCTCAGTAAATACAAGTTTCCCAGGAAGCAGGTAAACCAAAGTGGTAAGTCTGGACAGTGAGACGACATTGTCATGGACGAATGGTTTGCCTTTTATGGTGGGCCAGGTGATTTCTCTATTCTCTGGCTGTCAAAGAGGTTACCTGTTAGGGCCTCCTCTCCTCGGAGGTTTAATTTAACTACACGTTACATGACTGGTCTTAGAATTAAGAATCACCACTGCGGTGGATAGTTTGAATCAACACGTAACTCCTGGTTTGCCAAAGCTGGGCCATGCAAAACTATTTCCCAGACTCCCTGGCAGTTACAGTTTTGCTTTGCTTCTTTGGTACCGGGGATCAAACCTTGCACTTGCAAGGCAGGTGCAGTGCCATTGAACTACATCCCCAGCCCAGCAGTTACAGTTTTGATGTGATCCATTAAGACTTGAGATCTGGATATGGGACTAAATTGTGTTTTTATTTCCTTTGTTTTGAGGCAAAGTCTTGCTGAGATTCCCAGGTTGGCCTCAAACTTTCAATCCTAGTGCTTCAGCCATGAGCTTGTGCCACCGTGCCCAGCCTCAACGCAGGGCTCTGTCCTATTCCCGCACACCTGTTGGTTAAGACAAAATGAAACGGCTCGATCTTATCCTTTACTACGGATTCCTTTTGCCTGGAGCTAGATTTGAACCATCTTGTTCCGTTTTATGTGCTTTTCCTTGCAAATGGTAGGTGACTTCATATTGTTTTTTTCTCAAAGTTATGTTCAAGTGTTCTCCCCCCTGAAATTATAGACGTCTCCCATCCTAAAAGTATTTGCATCTTTGTTGACTTACCTAATGGGGACAATTTAATGGGTCAGATCATGGACTTCCTAATTACCTCTCCAGAGTACTGTTACTAATAAGCCTAAATCACGTCATGTGGATTGGCTGAAGCTCGCAATAGGTATAGAAAAGGGCTGTTTGAAGACATCAGTACTGGTGGTTCAACCAAAAAGCCACAGGTTGTCAGTCAGTCATACCCAGCCTATCCTGACAGCTGGGAGAGGACCCGACAGCCGTCAGCACGGAGGTGCCATGCTACACCTCCCCTTCCTTTGCTTTCCACATGGGCTTCTTTCGGGGCCCCACTTTGCCACGCATTGAGGCATCCAAGGCACTGGCTGGAAGGGACTGGGCTCAGTAAGTAGAAAATCAGACTATATCCCACCAGAGCCTTCGCTAACGCTTTGAGTTTGGTCCTTCATATGCAGTTGGAGATGTGGAACTCAGGTCTGAGTGGAGCGTGTTCTCCCCTCTTGCGGGTTCTGTGACCCTCACTCTGCTGAGAGCTGGCTTCGCGACCGGATGCTGGCTCTTCACAAACCTGAACCAGGAAGAAGCAACAAGCCTGCAGTCTCACATCCAGAACTAAAAAAAAAAGACTTTATTGAGGGCAGGAGGATGCAAACAATATAAAAATCCAAAGCTTATCTGGCATTTAACTAACTTTCTCTGCTTGTCCAATGAGAGCTGGATGTTGTCTGTACATTTTCTAAGGGGCCCGGTCAGCTCGTGACATCTTCATACGCGGGGAAACCGAGGGGCAGGTTCCCTAAGTGGCCCTTTGGGAGGAGGACCCTCACCAGGACGGGAGTAAATGCTCGAGCCTGCCTACTTCTTTCCCTTCTGCTTCATGTTTACTACAAAGTAATCATTGCATGCGATGGTGAGGCCTGCAATCAGTGAGAAGAAGCTCTGGAAGCCCACTTTGCCATCTCGGCACTGGTCCAGGTCCTTCATGATTTTGTCCACAGCCAGAGGGTCTTTTTGATTCTGGGGGTTGGGAGAGAACAAGACAAGAAGTATTAGTCAATGGTTGCAAGAACGAGTGTGTCTTATCTGTTCTGACAATGGTGTGTGCGATCTCGGGATCTGAGTTATCGCTTTAGGTCATAAGGGACCTCCGTAGGTCACTTAAGCGTCTTTTTTTGACTGGAAACATTTCAGTAGCTACATACTTAGACCACCTAAGCAGCAGCCTGTACTCACCACTCTGTAATTCAAACATATTTATCCCTGATAGCATGGTCAAATCCTTTTAAAGGACAACTACTTATGAAAAGATCTCATGAGATCATTAGTTCTACCTATTTTAAGGAGGTCCTAATGATACCCTGGGGTGTTCTAAGTCTGAGAAGGTGGGCAGAAAGGTCTTTTCTCCTTTCACAGCCGAGGCCGAGCGGTCGGGATGTCCTCACATATGACCTTGCCACGTGACCTTGAGTACGCTGCATGGCCTCGTGTGCCCTGGTGTGACACAATGGACAGAGGCGTGTGGAATGCAGTGCTTTCTCCAGCTTCTACTCCACTCTTGCTTTTTCCTTTGCAGTGCTGGGATTGGAACCCAGACTCTTGTGTGTACTGGTTAACGCTTTACCACTGAGCTGGATCCTTAGCCCACTTTGGTTCTTGGGGTTGGAAAGTCTACACCGCCATATACTCTCCACTGGACACAGGTCGAGACACAGGGGATGGAATCATAAACTCCCCAATGCCCGGTATTAATGTGACAGACACGGTGAGGTACGATCCTTTGCCTCCGTGGAGACTGGCCTGGTCACTTCTTTTGCAGTGACGCTGGTCTGAAGTGTAAGTGTGATTACTCCTTCAGGGTCTACGCCACTGATCATAGAGGGGCATAGGGCTTATCAGAGGCTATTACCAGGCTCAGATCAAGGACTGATGAGTTCTAGTGATGAGTGGACCAAGTGTGCCGGACCCTCACCGGACCCTCATGGCAAAGCAGCTCACTTTCCGACGGGAAGACCGCAGACTCCTACCCTGAGCAATCAACCCAAACCTGCTCTACGCAGCTAATTCTGGCCTCGCCCCCAGCTTCCTGGCTCTGGTCAGAACAGGGAAAATTTGGATGACACAAGGGGGTCAGTTTTAGAAGCAAAATGCTGTTAATGCAGTCAGTGCTGGGTGTGTCTGGAATGACTATGCTGTGCCTAGAATAAACGATCCCACTGCATTCGGCTCTCAGCACTACATACACCTCTTACGCTGCCGCCGCCACACAGCCTCGAGGGAGGAGGGGTCCGTGTCTTCTGTGATGTTTATTCTGGCTTCTAACTTCCACAACATGACTAGCAAGTGCTTGGCACGGAGAACACCTTCGTCCACGTGGCGGCCTGCTTTGGAAGGAGCACATGCTGCCCTCGCATTTTGTGCCTGCCCACAAGATCGCAGGAAGTGAAAGCAATCTTGCAGCAATCTGTCCAGCCCTCTCATCTTACAGAGGAAGCAACCTGTCCAGTTTTAGGTAGGCCAGAGCCAGGCCTTCTAATTCCGGATCTGGGGCTGGATCGCGGGGTTCTACACAGGGAGCCTACGTGTATGTCCAGCTCATTCTGGGATAGCGCTGTGGTGACCGCAGCTCAGAGAGAGGAGTTAGGCCAGTGAAGGTGAACCTGTTAGAGCTTTCAGTGCAAACGAGCAGCTTGCTGAGGCGTGGGTGCCATAGGTTTGCCACCCCTGAGTCGGGCTACTTATTTAACTGCTATAGAAGGTTGTTGAAGCAGGAGTCCGGGGCCTGGCTGCTGGGCTCTTTACCAGGCAGATAACACGAGGCCACACCGAGCCTTCCGCCATCACCTGCCCTCGCCCTTCTAGGCAGAACAAGAAGGATGTGTTCACGTGACCACGGCAACTGCCGCGGGGAAAGACGCGCTACTGGGTCGAGCAACGCTCCGCCTTGAACATTAAATTCAGCAACCATCTCTTGAGCGTCCACAGTCAAAGCGTAGCTGCGCCTGTGGTCTCATGCCCTGAGTGGACGTATCTGGGCTTTTAGCAGAGTCCCCTTCGGGGGTTGCTCAGTTAAACGTGAGCCACAAACTTCACTGGGCTCCTGTGTTCTGCAGTAATTTCAGCGTGGAAGGAGTTATTTCTGGAGCCACACTTGGCTTTTATTTAGCTGATGACTGACATCATTCCTGTAAGGATTAGGGTTGGCAAAGGAAAAAAATGCCTGTCTGAAGGGATTTAGGGAGGGAGATTTCAGCTGGCGGTATTACTCAGCATGTGGAATAGACAAATAAAAAGGAGATCCGAGTTGCTCCAAGCAGGATGTGACTGGCATGTGGCATCTTCTGTCCCCGGTTTATGGACCTGAGGGTGGACTTTCCCTCTTTGTTTACTCTCTTGTAAAAAGCCTTCTTCCCCTCACTTTATTGCAACGGATGCGAGTGATTCCAGATGGCACATTCTAAAAACCATTTTGTGTAGTGGTTGTGTCTCCTCTCGTTTCATCTGCAGCCTGTAAGCTCCCTGAGGGCAGGGGCGGTGTCTTCTTTACTTTGTGTCCTTATACTGCCTTACGCATACTAGGTGCCCAGTGTTACTTAATAAATAAATGAATGAATGAAAACCCTTTTCTGCAGTGACCTCCGCAGAGAAAGGAGGGAGGAGCAAGGGAAAGGAGGCAGTGACTTATATGCCTGGTTGTTTTGGAGCCTTCAACACCTACTTCCAAAAACCCAGGGAACTCCTTCTCCATGAGCACTCGCAGGTCCTCCTTTGTTAAGTAGCCTTTGTCCCCGGCAAATTTGTGAAACGTAAACATCATGGTTTCCATGGCGTGTTCCATTTGGGACGGCATGTTGGTGAAGTCTGTTGAAACCTGTTAAAGGATGTAAAGAAAAAGGGTCTACATTTAGCTTTGAAGCCACATGTACTGGTGATCTTTTGAGGATACTTGGTAGGAGGTTGACATTCAGTGAATCTGAGGACCAGCTCGGCTCCACTTCTGGGTCTCTCCGTGGTGGACATGGGCTCCCTGAAGGGGAGATTTACCTGGCTGCCTGCTAATTCTGCACAAATCACCTCTGAAGAATACATACCGAAACCATCTGGAAAACCAATGCGCCCCTCCTAAACAGACAAAGCATCTAATGAAAGAATGTATTTCTTCATTTCTCTTGGCACTGGCAAAGGGCACTCTTGCATTTGGCTGAAAACCCACATAGACAAGCATGACGAATATGAAAATTTCGACCTTCCAGGCTTAACTTGGTAACTTGGTTTATACTGATTCTGGGATTTAGAAAACTGCTTGCAGATTAATTTGTCTGCTGGATATTTATACTTTTCTAAAGTTCTAAACTTGTTTGTTGCAATAAAGATATTTGCATCTCTGGTGATAAAATTCAGCAGTTCTACCTCAGTACAACTTTCAGTACAAGTACAGACTTCACCGGGAACTCATTTGGGAAACTGATATACTTTGGCAGCATGAAATAAAACTGCCAATCCCACAGTCTAGGGTGTGGTGGGAAAACAAGAATTCAGGAGAGGAAAAGACACACGTCCAATTACTGGATTCAGGTGTCATGAACCCGGGGCACAAGTTTCATCAAGACCCAGTGCCTGGTATGTAACGGGCTCAGTGGATTCACCTTAACAGAAGGCACACTCTGGCCGGAACGGGGCACATAAAATCACATAACACCATGTAAGATCTACACCGGAAAGGAAATAGGTGAACTTTTTTGCAGGCTGTACTATATTACTTTAAAAAATTACAGTAGGCTCTGAACATAGGTAGGAGGCTGGCAGCTTTCCTTGCTGAAGAGCCAGCAGGAACCCGAGCTATGCTTTTCGGTCTGGTTCCCCTGCCAAGAGACACCTGCTCAACCCAGGTCCCTGAACACTGTCTACGCAGAGGGAAAAGTGGAGACACTGAACACTAGGATCCAGCACTGATATGCAAGAGCTGTAACTTCTACCTTCATCTCCAGAGAGGTACAAGAACCAGCACGCCAAAGAATGCACTCTAGAGAACGCTGTCAACCAGAATCTGGCATGACTTACCTGGAAGTCTGTTCTCTAGCTAGCAGAGAGCAGTAAGGGCACACTTCAAGGGTCACCGTGAGATGAATTCTGGGGACCACACCCATTTCCTTCCCTTCCTACAGAGTCTGGACTGTCTCACCCCCAACTCCCACCTGGGTTTCCCAGGGCAGTGGGCTCAGGAGGGCATGCATCTTACCTGGATTGGCCTGAGGTCTAGCAGTTTAAGAGAACTGAATCAAGGGAGCCAACTATACAAAAACAAGGGCTTCTGCGTCTACTTAAATAACCCAGGAAACAAGTCAGACACCACTAAGGTTTAAAAATACCTGTGCCCAGCCGGGCGGGGCAGGGTGGCGCATGCCAGTCACCTCAGGACTTGGGAAGCTGGTGGCGGGGGGATAGCTGTGAATACAACAAAAACAACCCTGTGCCCAAGCTCAGAGCAGCAGCGCACTTACTGACCAACTCCCCCAGATCACAAGAATTAGAAATGAGTAGGACACCTGCTTCAATTTCTTCATAACACAGAGCAAGAGAGTGGACTGCAAAGCCAGAGAGCAGGATAAGGATCCCTAAAATAGGAAAACATGCAGATTTCCCCCCAAGAAAGATATGAGCTGTGAGCTGAGGAAATCCTGTCCATGAGAATGCGGTCAGTTCACCACTCAGGTCTGAGGTCACTCCGATCACCCTATCCTTATCCACACTGGCTAAGAAGTGAGGGAGCCTTCCTCTCTGAAGCTGTGTCCCTGTACACACACACACACACACACACACACACACACACACACACGCCCCCGCCAGCTGTCTGTGGGTGGGAATACAGCAGCCAGCTGACTCCCTGCACTCTGCAGTAAGAATGTAGGGGTGGCTGAGGCAAGAGGACCTCCAGTTTGAGTCCAGCCTGGGCAATTCAGAGACTTAGCAAGACTCTGTCTCAAAAAAAAAAAAAAAAGTCTGGGGATGTAACTCAGACTGAAGACCGTGGATTTAACTCCTAGTGCTACAAAAAACAAAAACAAAGCCCACAAAGAATGCAGGGCAGAGGCCAGCCAGAGTGAAAACAGCACTGAAAATCAGAGATGATTAGGTCCCCGAGGCACTGACCAAGGTGACAAGTCAGGAGCCATTTTGAAGGCGCTGTACACGGGTTTTATGGAAAGATGAAGGAAAAGTGGGGATGTCTGCTTAACTTACGACTGTCCTCTCTTGGCTAGATGAATCCTGCAGCCCCTGCCAGTGTGGCAGGGGCCCAGAGGCAGCGGGGAGGGGAGCTTGCTCCCTTCTTGGGCGGGGCCAGCAGGGCTGGGCCTGCAATGCTGTCAGGGCGTGAGTCTGGCACTCCACCCCCACCCTCTGCTGGGCTCCAGCGGGCTGGGCCTGCCTCCCCGTTACATGTGCTCTGGCAGGGGGGCCTTGGGACCCTGCTGAGGGGCAACAGCATCTTTTCTGTGTCCCCAACAACCTATTCCTGCACCAAACAGCGGCACTGAACTGTTTTGTCTGCCTGTCTGCAATTTAAGCTCTTCTTAGTCGAGAGCTGTAAATTATTCCACTTTTATTCACAGACCACTAACGGCTCATAACATAAGTGAATAAATGAATCAAATAATCCGACTATGTAGAAGAGGCTGAAAACCTTGCAGCTCAGAGATCAGCAGTGGGCACGAGAACTGGGAAGGGCCAGGAAAGGGGCCCCAACAGTCCGCCTCTGAGCAGACCAGCAGAGTACACAGGAGAGCACATTCCCCATGAGATCGGAAAATGTGTCTTGCTAAACAGGTTTGGTCAGACTGTACCAGGTCTTCTGACCCGGGAATCTTCGCGTTTTCATTCATCCCACCTTGTGCTTTGTACCTTTCTAGCTCTGCTGGCTCCCTGCTGAGCTCCACTGCATGTGCCAACCTCACTTACCTTTTTTCCATTTTTTGGAGACAGGGTCTCACTATGTAGCCCAGGCTGCCCTAAACTTATGGCAACCCTCCTGCCTCAGCCTCCCAAGTGCTGGGATTATAGGTGTGTGCCACCACACCCAGCCCCACTCACCTTTTATGAATCATTTTACTGGGACTTATTGGGACGCCTGCCTAGCCCTCTACACGCTTATCTGGGCTGTAAGTAGTAAGAGTGAAGGCTCAGAAATCTGATCTCTCTCTGTAGTTTTCTCTACGGAGACCAATCCTGGACTCTACACATCTAGTTAATGTGACATGAATCCCATTTTCTAATTTTGGTTCTCCCAAACGAAGCAACTACTTTGCATGTATGTTCCTTCCACTGACAGTGTTAGAAAATCCCTCACTCTCTCCATGGTGCTCACCACCAGCTAATGGAATATTATTTAAAAGTCGACCTACACCTCTAGCTATTTGTGTTTCTGGTTCTTTGCCTGCTGGACTGCAGGCTGCTCAGGCAGTCCCAGCAGCCAGTGCCCAGCCTCCATGCAGCCTGCTCGATGTAGCATGAAGAGAGAAATGGACAGTAAGGCCACTCCAGTCATCCCCGGAGGAGCAGGGGAGGAGCCTCCCTCAGGAAAGTATCTGTTTCTTCCGAGCGGTCCCAAATGTTTGCTCTGGACCTATGCCCGGATCGAGGCCGTAATTTTCAAGAGGGCTCCTCTAAGGGCCAAGAGGTCTGACTGACTCCGCTCAGCTGTACCTTGTCCGATTTCTAGTTTTGTCAGAGCCACCCAGAAACTGACTGGCAGCGTGTCAGTAAAAACAAACATCTGTTCTTTGAAATATATTTGAAGATTTCTTCCTCATGTTTTGGGGCTTTGGAAAATGAAAAAAGAAAAAAAAACTATCTTATTGAAATTGAACCCAGAAGGCATTTTAAACTTTGATCCCTAAGAGGAATTAAGAAAACTGAATGGAGACAGTAGGTCTCCATCTAGGATGTCTCTCTCACCAAATAAAACTTGCCCACTGAAGAGCTGGTCAGCAAAGAAAAAGTTCCTGTTGCAATTCAAAAGGAGGACTCAGAAACATTACAGTCAACCAAGTACATCCATAATTCCTGGAGGGACTGTCAGGCGTGTAAATCAGCCAGCGACAGCTATTACAACATCTGCTATGAAATCCTTTGGTGGGGTAGATGGGACTTACTTAGCGGAAGAATAGGAATTACTGAAAATTGTGAAAAATAAGCACATTCTTTCTGTTTGCTTTGAGGTGAGGTTTCTGAATTGTTGAGTCCTGAGAAAATGACAAGTTGGAGAAAGATCCTAAAACTTCAGTCCAGCCTTCCCAGCACTTTGAGTGCTCACTTGTGCATTATAACCCTGAAAGAATTCCATTGTTTTCCTCAACGTTATGCTTTAGAAGACTGGACTGTGTCCAAAGGCAAACCAAGTGGGCAGTGCTCACAAAATGTGACTTTTCTGAGCAGTCAGTGGAAAGCCAAGGCACCCAGCCCCAGGCTGGACCACACTGGGGTGGCCGCTAAGGAGGACAAGGGCCCATCTGATGAATTCAGCAAAGGCCAGCTCAGAGTCCAAACAATAGCTCTATGCCCAGCAGACCTGGAAAACTTGAAGAACCGCAATGAGAAACTCCAAATGCTTCATCGAGGGCCGTGTGAAGAAACCACTTTTTGGGTGTCGGGACATAATTATACCATTTAGAAGAGGCGATTAAATAGCAACCAGATAGGAATCTGTGGGGCAGGGCCGATGAAAGACTTATGCCTGCCCGGACACCTGGCGTTATCATTTGCAATTTGCTGGAACACACTAGAGGCAAAGACCACCAACAGGAGGCTTCCACGGGCCTGGCCGCACCTGAAGCGCTGGGCGTTAAAATCCACTCCTGGAGGCTGAAACTCAAGCTGCGGGGTGGGGGTGCGGGGCAAAAAACTGCATCAACTGCAGACCCCTTCACGGGAAAAGCGACCTTTCCTAAGTACAGCTGAGGCCGACAGCCGGGCCATACCCCAGCAGCAGTCCCGCCTGGGCCCCGCCGATGTAATCACTACCCTCACCACCGCTCGGTCAAGAAACGGCTCCTCCAAACTGGCACCCGGTCCCGGAGTGACTCACTTCCTCTTGGAAAATGCCCTCTACGATGGTACAGTTCCTCTTTCCTCCGGGGAGTGTGCCGCCCGGAGGAGCTGCATCCAGCCGGCCACACCCGTTCGGGCTCCCCGCTGAGTCACAGCCTCGGGTCTGTGGCAGAATCGGGGCCGGGCGCGCTGACCCCACCCCGGGCTCCCCGGGGAGGACGGGTGGGGACCGCAGGGTGGGTGTAACGTGTCCCAGGACCGGGCGCAGGGCTCTCCCTACTTCCCTGGCCCGCAGCTGCTCTGCTTCTCCACCGGCACCTCCGAGTTCGGGTTTGGCCGGGCAGAGCCCGCCGGAGGCCCGAGGGAGGGTCGTTCCGCCGGCCCAGGCCAAGCTGCGAACCAGGTACCAACCAGGGCAGGGGCCCGGGCCACCTGGAGGTGGAAGTCACGGTCCCGCCTGCCCTCCCAATCTTTCCGGTTCCACTCACCGAAGAGAGCTGTACCCCGCCCCGCCCAGCAGTGCCTTAGAGAGAAAACACACAGCTCCGGGCTCAGGGCGCCGA